GCGCTCGGAGCGGGGGGGCGGTCGCCCCGCGGGGGGGGGCGGCCCGCGGGAGGGGGTGAGGGCGGGGATGGGGATGGGGATGAAGGGGACGGGGACAAGATGGGATGGGAGGCGGGATTGGGACGCATCCCAACACACAGCCACGGGAAGGTGACCCGCGGGCCCAGGCGGGAGCAAGGGCGGGCAGCTGAGCATGAAGCCGGGGTGGGCAGCGCAGCCGGTGTGACCACAGCGGCCTCTTAGCTGTAGATCGTGGTGACCCCCGTCTCTTCGAAGACCCTCCGGAAGGCGACCTGGAGGGACACCAAGGAGCAGTGCCTCCGGCAGCTCCCCACCAAGAAGTAGATGAAGGGGTTGATGCTGCTGTTGATGCAGGCGAGCAGGAAAACAACCTGGGAGGGCACGACGGTGTAGCTGAACTGCTGCAGGAAATTCCAGATGCTGAGGGGAACCCCAAAGGTGAGAAAGAAGAGGACGGTGAGGAAGATAACGATGTAGAGCCTCTTGGGTTGACGTCGCTTGGAGCCACACAGGACCTTAATGAACAGGATCACATTGGAAATGACCATGGGTGGGGCAAAGATGAGGAAGTTGAGGACGTACATGGAGATGAGAGCCATCCGACAGTGCTCGTGCTCGTGCAACAGGCACAGAGAAGTCACTGCAGCAATGACAATGATGGAGAGGGCCCAGAGCAGGGCACACACCACGGCCGACAGGTGCTGGAGGCGGCGGATGCTGGAGCAGAGGATGGACACGCACCTCTCGATGCTGATGGCCGTCAGGAGGTACAGGCCCATGTTGTAGGAGAACAGCGAGAGCAGGAAAAGCGACCTCAGGTACATCATAGACACAACAGTGGAGCAGGAGACGTTACGCATCACGTAGATGAGGGCTGAGGCGACCATGAAGAGGAGGAAGGTGAAGTCGGCGACGGCCAGGTTGAGGATGTAGACGGTGATGGGGTTTCTGCGGATGCGGAAGCCGAGGAGCCAGAGGACAGCCCCGTTCCCCACCAGCCCACAGAGGCAGATGAGCACCGTGACAGTGTCTATGGCCATGTCGGTGACCTCTATCCTGCACGGATCGTCTCCATCGGTGGTCAGCGTGGGTGGTGTAGGAAGTGGGGATGTCTGGTTCAGCTCCATGACGGGAGGTGGGACCTGGTCCCCAGCTGCGGTCAGAGCGGACGGGGAGTTAGTGGGACCCCAAAAGCAAGAAGGATGTGTCGGGGAGAGGGGTCCTGGTGATGTGGCACAGCAGGGCTGGGGACAGGGGGGTGACGGGAGGGCTGGGAGGCGGCTGCCTCACCAGTGATGGGCTGGGGGGGTGAGTGCGGAGGAGAGGTTGGAGGGGCTCCAGGCACCCCGAGGGAGGATGTGCGTGGGAGCAGTGAGAGAGGCTGCGGGGAGCTCCGGGAAGACGCGAGCAGCTCCCCGGGCTGGACTCCGGTCCCGACCCCCTACCTTTCCAGGCAGCAGCCTGGGGCCGACCTGCCCGCGCGTTGAGCAGGGCACGCTCCCTCCCTCTGGTTCTCCTTGCCACGATCTTCTCAGATGAGGAGAACTGGGGTCTCCGTGTTCTCAGAAGACCCGAGCAGCCCGTCTTTCCTCCAAATAAAGCTGCTCTTTGGGGCGTTTCTGCAATATCACAGGTCAGGTGGTAAGAGAGCACTGGGCAGTTTCAGAGACACAGGCTACATCACCGAGCATCTTCTCCTGTCAAATTTTGGTTGGTCTTGCTGGAAAGGAAATGTTTTGTCTGAGAGAATACCCCAGAGGATGAATACTGCAGCAGCTACATCTTGCTGTGAAAGAATCTCGATGCTTTTAGGATTCAACCTGATATCTCATTAGACTGGTAATTACCACCTTCCTAATTGTTTTATTGTGCTCCAATCTCCTCCCCCCACCCTGCCCGGATGCTGGCATCTTTCTGAGATTGTTCATTACTGGGTGCATTTGCCTTCCAGCTTCCCGGCATGTGAATCGCCGCTGTCTCTCCTCCATCTTTGTCGTGCATCAGGCCTGGGTGGGAATTCGGTGTTGGAGCCGTCGGTTCAGACTTGCCCCGGCTGGTCTGGGGGCTGCAGTGCCCTCCCGGCCGGGCTGGTACCTACCGAGGAGCCGGGGGGGGGGACCCGCGGGGAGGGCCCGGGGGGGGGGGCGGTGGGGGGGAAGCAGGGGATGAGCCAGCCATAGGGCTGGGGGGAACGTCGGGGAACGGCACACATGATCCCCCCCGTTCCTTCCCTGCACCCCTATACCAGAAGCGCCCGTTCACCCCCGCCGGGGTCTTGGCGTGGCAGAGGAGGGCACCGACCGGTGGGGAGGGGGTCTTGGGGACCTCCAAGCTGGGATGTGGGAGACGCGGTCTCTCCTTCCTCCCCAGAGCGGCACCGGCTGCCCTCCGTGTCCCCTCCAGCCGCTGGGCTCCCCTGTGCTGGTGGGGGGACATGGCCAGATGGCGGGCAAAGCACCCCCCAAGTGCCGGGTGCCCTCTGCTCCTCCGGCAAGGGCAGAAAGCTGCTTCTTTGGCTCATTAAGCTGGCTAATTGCCGCTAGGACTGCTAACACCCCTGCCTGGCTCACCCAGGCAGCTGGTGCACCCGCGGCAGGGCTGGGGGAGCCGGCAGGAGGGGCCACCCACGCACGGGGCTCCCTGAGCCCAGCCACCACCCAGAAATGCCCCATGTCCCAAATCCCTCATGTCTGAGCACCCTCTGAGCTCCCACCTCCCAGAGCGGGGTCACGGTGGTCCCCATTCCAGGGGAGGTGGGCAAGGATCTCTGTGGGTAATACAGGGTGGTCAATGTGGGGTCCATGCACGGCACCGTCTGAGCCCCCAGGAACAGCGCTGGGTTGGCATGTCCCCAAGCAAAGCGGGGTGTTGCAGTCCCTCCCCGCCAGCGTGCCGGGGTCACCGGGAAAAGACCGTGGGCCGGGGGCTGCCCACGCCAGCCGGGTCCTGCCGGGCCAGACGCCAGGGACAGGGTTTCCCGGCAGGGCATGGCTCGGCATGGCACGGCACAGCCGAGCAGGGCTTGGCACGGCACATCACCTGGTGTGACGGAAGGGGTGGCACTGGCAGGGAGGGGGGGGGTCAGAGCTGTGA